GGATCGGGCTAGATTAGATGTTCAGTTTTCTGTTTCTTTCTATATATTTTTTATCGTACAAGCTTCTTGAGAGCTCAGATCAGATTCGGGGCCGTGTGGGGTTTACCCCACGGTCCCGATAATAAACAAATTAAATAATCAAATTAAATAATCACTCTTTAATATATTTTTTCTAAAAATTTGGACAAATTCCACCAAAAAAGCTTTCTTGTAAAAGTTATTAACGGTTCCGAAAATTCTAATAAAATTTGAGGACATATCTGATATCGGATCTGAAACGGTAGACAAGTTTTTTCATAATTGCACTGAAAACAAATTTTTTGTCTGTTCGACTTCCGTTACCAATTAAAAAACTCTGTGCAAATCTGCACGAAGAGCTTGCAGCAATTAAGTAGTTAAAATAAGCCCGGTAAGTAGTAATTAGCAGTGGTTCAAAAGTAAAACACAAGAGTAAAGAAATTGTAATGATACTTAATTTAAATACAAATAAAATACAACAAAATCATATTGCTAAAAATTTTAAAGAAATTTTAGAAAAACTATTGCTTGAATATCTACATAATTAAGTTTTTAGATATTTACAATTGTCAAGAAAAAAAAGTAGCACTTGTCATTATACCGCTGATGAAGTGTGCACTAATCTCTTAGAAACTAATCTAAGCTTGCGACTACATTATTTACTAATTATTCGTATAAAAAAATTATCCGTAAAATTTTGTGTTTACTCAGCCGTGAGATTAGATGTAATTTCGCTTATTTACGAATATGAGAAAAAGGCGTTTCATATCTCTTAACCATCATTTATTGTTTTTTTGGTGATGGAGCAAACAAGTTTGAATTATCAATCTCCTTTGTCGCGTGCAGAATTTTTACGACCTTCGTGAACTCTGAGTTGGTGCGCAATCAAACTCACTTTTTGTCCAAATTTCATCTCGCACTTGTCACATGCATGATCTCTTCGACCTTCATGGACTGTTTTTTGGTGAACGAGCAAATGACATTTTTGTCCAAATTTCTTCTCGCACTTGTCGCATGCGTAATCCTTGCGACCTTCATGGATTGTCCTTTGGTGTAAAAGCAAAGTCGATATTTGTCCAAATACTTTCTGGCACTTATCACATGCGTAGTCTTTGCGACCTTCATGTTTTGTTTTTTGGTGTAAAAGCAAGTAAGGTTTTTGGGTAAATGTCTGATCACACTTTTCGCAAACGTAATCTTTGCGTCCATCGTGTACTGTCTTTTGGTGCCTGATCAAATCGTATTTGCGTCCAAATTTCTTTTCACACCTATCGCATGTGTAATTTTTCTGACCTTCATGTACCATTTTTTGATGTTTTCTCAAATTGCCTCGAACGCCAAATTTCTTTTCGCACCTGTCACATGCGAAATCTTTTCTACCTTCATGGATAGTATTTATGTGTACGAGCAAACTCTTTTTTTCTGTAAATTTCTTCTCGCACCTGTCACATGAAAAATCTTTGCAACCTTCATGAACTGTCTTTTGGTGTAAAAGCAAATGTGGTTTTTGTCCAAATTTCTTCTCGCACTTGTCGCATGCGAAATCTTTCCGGCCTTCGTGTACTGTCTGTTGGTGCTTGGACAAGGCTGATTTTAGTCCAAATGCCTTCTCGCATTTCTCGCATACGTAATCTTTCTTACCGTCGTGTACTAATTTTTTATGTATTCTTAAATAGCTTTGAACGCCAAATTTCTTTTCGCACCTGTCACATGCGAAATCTTTGCGACCTTCATGGATGGTATTTATGTGCACGAGCAAACTCTTTTTTACTGTAAATTTCTTCTCGCATTGGTCGCAGGCAAAATCTTTGCGACCTTCATGTATCGCCTTTTTGTGCAAAAGCAAGTGAGAGTTTTGAGTAAATTTATCATCACACTTGTCACATGCGAAATCTTTTCGACCTTCGTGAACTGTCTTTTGGTGAACAATCAAATTACATTTAAGTGTAAATTTCTTCTCGCACCTGTTACATGCAAAATCTTCGTGACCCTCGTGGACCATTCTTATATGCACAAGTAAATGCGATTTTTTTCCAAATCTTTCCTCGCAATAGATGCATACCAAACCTTTCTGACTTTCGTGTATTGCATTTTGATGTTTGAACAAATTAATTTTTAATTCTAATTTTTCTGGGCCCTTATCACGGGAAAAATCTTTTTGATCATCATGAACTGTTTTTTGGTGTATGAACAAATTCGATTTATTTTCAAATTTCTTCCCGCAATCCTTACATAAATAATCTTGAAAGGCAAAATATTTATGACTTTCATGTACTCTCTTCAAGTGGAAAAGCAAATGGGTTTTTTTTCTAAACTTCTGCTCGCACTTGTCGCATGCGAAATCTTTGCGACCTTCGTGTACTGTCTTTATGTGCATGAGCAAACTCTGTTTATTTCCGAATCTCTTTGCACATTTTTCACACAAGTAATTTTTGAAAACTTCGTGAAATATTTGGTTGTGCTTGAGTAAAGTTGATTTATTTTCAAATTTTTTCTCGCAATTGTTGCATGTGAAACTTTCGCCACCTTTGTGTGCTAATTTTTTATGCGTAAATAAACTCGATTTTTTAACAAATTTTTTTTCGCACTTGTCGCATGCAAAATCTTTTCGACTTCTGTGCTCTGATACTTGGTGTCTACTCAAATGGCTTCGGAACTCAAATGTCTTCTGGCACTTGTCACAAGCGAAACTCTTTTGTTTATTGTGCATTATGTCTGATTGTGTTATTATGCTTGATTCTAGTGTAAATGCCTCCTGGCAAATATCAGAAATGTCCTCTTTGTCGTTTGAAACAACAACGTCGTGTTCGCTTGAATTACCTTGTACGGCAGCTTCTTCGATTTCGTTCTCACTTTTGTCCATTTTGGTACTTAAATTAAACATCGGATCTTTCTATTTAGTGCTACGGAAATCGAATGAGTAAAATTTATCTTTTAGTGTTATGACTTGTTTCTTCCGGAAAGACAACATTCAAACTAATTTGATTTTACTATAAATATGATCAGTGTGTCGATCGGCGATGTCGAAGTCGTTCTTAATTAGATTGATTACAATTAACCTACCGATTTATCTATTTTACATTGTTAAAACGTTTATAAGTGGAGAATATAGAAAAACTGACTGAGAAATCGAAAGAGGAAACTTGACTTTTTACCTAAAATTTACCATTTTGAAAGAGAAATATCTTAGTAATGCTGGTTTTTAAAAGTTTCTGCGAATCCATCATTTATATGTTGATAACACGTTTATTGTTTGCCTCATTTGATACTCGCGGTTAGACATACGCGTGAATAAGAAGCGCTTTCGAGCATCGAGACATTAACTATCAATACAATTGACTACATGATGTAAAATATTTAAATAAGGTTTATAATTTATTTTTTCCGTACTTAAATTACAAACAGTTATCAGTCAGTGAAAAACAAAGTAAGATAAATGTTAAATTGTAATAAAAACTATGTCAAACGAAATAATTATGTCAACAATGATAACTTCATTCACAATAAAAAAATTCTCTAAAAATAACACCATCGATAAGAAAGAGTTTGTGCTTCAGGGTCAAATGTAGCGGCAGATTTTCTTATCGCAAACATGAAAATTTGTCACGGAGGGGACACTCATGGAGGGGATAAATCGCACTTTTATCAAATTTCACGACGACAACAAAGTTGAACATTTTTTTTCCGATAACCCACAAAATTTTTTTGTAGAAACGTTCGTTTTTACGCCACCAGATTCAAGAATAAAAAGTGCTAGCTCAAAAACTCGTTGATCACGGAGGGGCCACTTTATTTTACTAGTACGATTTTCGTGTGAAACTATTATTATAGTGAAGCTGCAATTAGGATTTGAATATTCTACGGGTAAAAATCGAGTACTTTAGTTTTGAAAGATGACCCTCGTGTAAGTAGAGAAGTCAAAATTACTGTCTAGCACGTTTACTAGCACTATATTCGGAATGATGTAAAATTTCACATAATTTAAGGACACATTTGTTAGTTATGTACAATTGTTTTGAAACTATTTAAGATGGCGAGTGATGCAAAAAAACTTTCTTTAGGATGTATAGAACAGGGCCCATGTACCACAATATTGTTAGATATCTGTAAAAATGTGTTTAATGAGTGAAAACAATCGATTCTGAGTTCAGGATAGGTCACGGAGGGGACATTTTGTAAGTTTATCCGGCTGGCAAATCAATGTCGTCTTTTTTGATGGAAATTTTATAGTTGCGGAAGGTAGAATTCAGTAAAATTGAAGGTTCTACCGTCTTAGTTTCCATTTTTTTAAAGTTTTCTAATAACTACAATAACAAGACATGTCATATCACGCTTTTGAACTAATGCACCATATACCAAATTGAAGGTCTTGCAAAGACTTACAACTTTTGTTCGAAACTTTTTTTCATACAATGTACGGGTTTCAATCTGTAGTCGAAAAACCGATTTTCTTAATTTCAAATGGCGTAATTGTTTAAATTTCAATCGAGGCATTTGCTGTTACTTCATTCTTATCATCGAATCCCGGTGAGAAACGCCAGTTGCGAATTTTTTCAGGTTCAAAACTTATTGGACTGGACGAGACCGCGCGCTCTTTCTCTCTTCACCACTCGAGAAAATCGAATGTGTGTGTATGTATGTGTGGGACCGTTTATGTGTATGTGCGCACGTATATGAGTAATTTCGGAATTGAGTGTCCAATTTTTTGGCTAAGAATGGAAAAAAATTACAAAATATCCTATCCTATAAGAGCGGTGAGGTTTTTAGCGTAAGCAGTTTATAAGCGCTGTGTGAAGTGTTATAGTAAGTTAAGAAAGTAGGATATTAACTTATTGATGGTTAAAGACTAATTTTGATATCAACACTTTAGAACCGATCATTTTTATTATAAAATATCATTTACATTAAAAAAATTATAAATTCATATCTAGATTACAATTTTATCCTTTAATATTTAAAAGATTTGATATATTCCATTGACAAATTTTTTTTCGTTCATTCGGGGGACAGCGACTAGAATTATAAAGTATTCTTGCGTTAAATCAGGGTTTCAATTGAAGGTATTAGTGTTATTCATATCTTATTCAGTGAATTTTTAATATCTTTTTTTGATAAGACTCCGACTTTTTCATCTCATAGTAAAATAAATCCAACATACAATAAATAATTGCGAACTTCTACAATTGTTACTGGTCATAAATTCGAATTAGACATTCTTGCTAATACTATCTGGTCCAAAGAGTTTTGGACTCAGAGTTTCTGATACGACTGATAAATCAGACTTTCACCAATGGCACATCTCGCGTTGGTAGACGAATCTGACGATCGTTCTCGGGTAAAGTTAATGATCATCGATCTGATCAATTATGTTTTGTGTCGGTTCAACTCGGTACTTAGCTGCATTATCATGTCTAAAAATTGAATTTAACTTAAGGATAAAAAATATTATTAAAAATTTGAAATTATTTACTTACATAAATTGAATGGAAGTGTCTCTTACATAAGATAACTCGTCACTGTCAATATAATCAGCTATTGCTCTCAGATAAGATCTAATTATTTTCAAGAATTCATTTTTTCTGAAAAACTTATCGCAACGAAAAAAAGATTTAGCTGATTTAGCTACATCCATTGGTTGGTTCTGATTTACTGGTAAATTACATAGTTTGTTATATTCTTTGATAGCTTTGTTTATATCACAACGATATATCGTGATATAGTTTTCGTTATTTTCGTTTGCGTGTAATAATACCTCGACACACACAACCAGCAATACCCCAACATTCAACCGATATAAATGTATTGTCTTTATATAGTCAGGTGTCAAATCAAGAAGTGTGCGTTTGAATGTGCTGAATTCTATGGGTCTAGGCCAGCTATTTGCACGTTTTTTCATGCCCTTACGAATAATATTACTAAGATTTTCATCATCTAAATTTTCTTTTTCAACTTCCTCAAAAATTAAATATTCTTGCAAATTAATGATAACCTCTGCATTACATTTAGCATTAAGATATTCTCGAGTTATAAGAAGTGGCTTTGTTTTTTTTATTATTTTTATAGAGTTAGGTAAAATAGATTTATGGTTTACTGATTTCAACACGCTCAATTCAGGAGCAGACGTGAGTAGATTATCTTCGATGGTACCCTTACGATCTACTGATAGTTGAGCAATGACGTTAGCTGCTTTTTCTTTACTTAAAATTATAAATTATTTTTGAGTAAGAAATTATATAAGTCACTTTTAAAAAATGTACTCACATTACTTCAATAGATTTTGTTCGTATAAATTGCAGTTCGTTAGAGTCTATCTCAAGACCTCTCAAGTAATTTCGTATTGTTTTTAAAAATTCACTTCTTCGTATAAAAATTAGGCAATCAAAAAATTCTCTAGCTGCAACAACTATGTTATCGTTTTGTTCCTTTTGTTCTCGGAAACCACGCAATTTATTATATATCTTTTTCGCCTTCGCGTGGCTACAATGATATATTTTTCTAAGTTCTCTGTCTTCTACCCCAGGAAACAAAATATATTCAACGCATCCCACGAGCAGTACGGCGGTATTTATGCGATATAAATTTACAACTTTTAAATAATCCATAGTAAAAGTAAGAATCGTATATTTAAGTGTGTCTAAGTATATTGACGGAGGTGGTTGGTTTACATATCTTTTCATCCCATCACGTATTATAGTCTTCAAAACATTTTTATCCTCTAATTGTTCTTCTTCAATTTCGTTATCATTTAAATAATTTACCAGATTAATGAGAACGTCAGCACTCGATCTTGTAAGAAAATATTCTCGATTTATTGAAATTGGCCCCATTTTTTCCGTGTGACGAATGCTCCGATACCGATGAAATAATATAGTCAAAACTATTTGATGTTTGATAAATATTATAAATATTTTACTAAGAATCAACAACAATCACGGCATCATTAACACTAACAATTATACAAATGTAAAATAAGATTCACGTCAACATCGAGTTTTCGCGCTCTTACACATATGGATATAAATATAACAGTCCAAGTATACAAATACAGGATCATACTTTCAAAATGTCACATAGTTATTTAACACGCTCTCAATTCAATGTTTCAGTTTAGAAAATCGAAATTTCGCCTTATTTCTAGCTTTCTTGATTAGTGTCGAGAGTTATCTACCTGCTTTACCAATCTTTATACAAACTTTTACACGGATACCCAAGATTTCGATCGGGATACATAGCATACGGATTTTAACAGCATCGATAATGAGTTGCATGTTTTAAGATACGCATATTAGACCGGGCCGCGCTTTTGCATCAATATTTTTAGGGTGTTCGTTATTTCCCAAACATTGAAAATCCTTGCTTCAGACATTGATATCACTTCTTAGTGATATAAAAACATGTTTAGTAGGGTTTATTACCCATAGGTACAAGTTTAAAACGTGCCTTAAGGATACATTCCCATTGAAAATGAAAAAAAAATCGATACATTTTTTTTATGTTAAAACGTTCTTCAACATCATAAAAATATCCTGTTAAAATTTTAGAACGAAATTCATAAAGGAAAAAAAATTGTAATATTTCTTGGCTCGTATTCTTTTAAAATTGGATCGAGCGATGTCAACCAAGCCACGGCCGATTCATAGAAGTTCACACTACCACTTTCAGTTTTTCATTTCGAATTATCGAAGTAAATTTATATGGTATCTAGACTCTAACTGCAAAATTTCCTTTCTAATTATGATATTGTGCGAATTATCCAGGTAAATAAACATTGATTTTACATCGAAAACGCTAAAAACATAGCTTGAATTTGAATTATCGGGAATTTCGAATCATTGAAGTTCAAATTATCGAAGTTTCGCTGTATCGACTATTTGTTTTTCAGAGACACCAATTTTAATATTGAAACATTCATCAGTTTTCAAGGAATTTTCATGTACTCCGTCAACGAACAGATTATTGAATGATCCACATCTGGTAATATTTTTTCCTTTTTTATTTCATAATGGAAGAAAAAATTTACTTCTCTTCATACCTTTGACATTAATTATATATTTTTGTCTATGGGTAAAAACGCGAATAATGCCCCAGTGCCACGCGTGGGCAGGGAAAACGGCCAAATTGCTTAGTTTTCCACTCGCTAAAGGCTTAAATAAAATTTAAAAAAATAAACCAACGTTTTCGAAAGGTTTTTACCTCAGCTTTCTTCTATTGAGGTCGAAAGTGCAAAAATATGCCTCCATAACTTCAAAAAATGGACTTGAAGATAAAACACGTTGTAACTTCCAGAGTTCAACTCCAGTTAAGTTTCTGAGTAGCTAGATCGAAAGATTTCACGATTTTACACAACAAATGACTCTAAAAAAGGGACTTTTTTGATTTTCTCCAGCGATGAAGAAGGAAATAGCGCCCGACCGCACTTTTCCAGCACCGCGGCCTGTTTTTTCTCTACACTTTCCGTTTATTTATCTATCACGCGTTTTACTTGTGCCACAAATATAAACAAATACATGTTTCTTGGGTATTTTTTTCTCATCTTCCTAATGGTGCAATTATTTTTTTGAAAAATTGATTTGTTTTGCGAATAAAACCAAAATAATGAAACTATTAATCAAAAAAGTTAATTTATCTGTTCAAAAAAGCCAATTTTATAAATAGTACATTACGTCACTCGTGCGCGAAGTGGGTGATTCTCGCACGAGTCTCAGTTTGACCCCCGAGCGCAGGTGACAATGAGACGAGGGCGAGAATCACCACGCGCACGAGTGACGTATACTATTTTTTATCACGAGTTGCGGGAAGTTTTTATTTCCCACACGCTCAGCCGTGCGAGAAGTATGTAATTTCGAGAAGTATCGTTATTACAGTACTGCTCGGAATTTCACCATCGGAAAGATGAGGCAAAAATACACAAAAACCATGCATTTGTTTATTTTTATGGCGAAAGTATAACGTGCGATAGATACAGAAACGTAAAGTGTATTGAAAAAACAGGCCACGTCGCTCGAAAACAGCTGACCGGGAGCTTTCCCCTCTTCACCGCTTGAGAAAATTGAAAAAGTCTCTTTTTCGATGTAAAATCAGAGTCATTGTATTTGTAAAATCGCAAGATCTTTCGATCTAGCTACTCACCCTTATAAAAATTTCCAATAGGATCCCGCGAAATTCCTATTGGAATCCTATAGGACTCCTGCAGGAATTTCGCGAGATCCTATAGGAAATTTTTATAAGGGCAGAAAGTCAATTAGAGTTAAACTGAGGAAGTTACAACTTCCAGATCTTCAAGTCCATTATTATTATATTTTTGTTTATTACAGATTGAAAATATACAAAATTGTAAAATATACAAAAATATACAAAGAAAAATTTCAGCTCCGATGCATAAAAATATTTTTACCTTAAGAAAATAGGCTATAAGTGGACAATTAGAAATTCTAATAAATTGAAAGGTACATTTATTTAATGCAATGTCTTTAAATAAACGGATTCATGATCACTATGATACTCAAAGGTTAAATAACTCTGTTGAAGGTATTTTTATTTTTGAAAGTGTTATTTTTATTATCCATTTTTAAATTTTCTTACTTTTTAATCAAAAGAGCATTAAATTTATCAATTGATCGTAATAGATTTTGAAAAATTTCTTCAACATTAACTCAATTGACATTTTTTTATTTCAGAAATCAACTTGTACATTTGGTTTAAGAAAGGCGAGAGAAAAATTTTTCATGAAAAAATCAAAGAGTTCTACCAAAAGATGCCTGCACTACTACATGGACAAATTGTTCAACAAGTTGTCAATCAATCTTTCTAGTGAGCCTTCAGGCACTTACGATGTAATTCTTCAAAATAAGGAGTCGCTATTTTCATTTAATGTTGTTTGCAATTTTTAAGCTATGTGGAAATATTCACCTGCTTCTTACGGTAATTTTTAATTATTTCCTTATGACAAAATTAAAGTGTATTATAATTTCATTATTGTAAATGGTTGATTATCAGTTATGTCGAATTTCAAATAAATTTTTTTTTTTTGCAAATATGAAAAACTTGTTGTTACCAATATCAGAAAGGTACCAAAGAAATAATAAAAATTTAATAATGGAAAGAAATTATTGTGCAGAAAAAGAATTTTTGGGCCATTCGACTTCACTGAGAATCTGACAAATATATCAATGAAATGTATTGAAGAGAAGAGCTAGGTGTGTTGGCATGTAGGATGAGTTGGCAAAATGGAATATTTCTCCTTATCAATGGCTTGAACCAAAATGGAGCTATTACACACAATGTCTGAATATTATGGTGTTAAGACTACTGATACTATTATCTCTATAAAAGTCATTAATGGGGGTAACATGTCATTCTACGAACTTACTTCACATGTCAACACACCTTGTTCTTCCTTACACTTAATGTGTTAGCCAATGCTTTAAGATAGTATTGTTTATAAAGCTTCTTGAGTACGCTCCCAAAGTGCTTTACCAAGAATGTAAGAAAAATATTGTTTGTATCAAATACTAAATTATTTATCATAATGTAGCAGATTTGATAAATTTACAAAAGCTTTTAAAACTTTTTTGAAAAAGCTCGGCTTGATCGAGTCATTGTCAAATTGTTGTTATCTTTTCACTAAAATCAGATACCATAAAATCAGATAGCAAGTATCGTCTACATTGCATACAAATGCCCCTAATTATGAAATGATAGATTCTGACTTTTTACGGCAACTTTTTATACTTTTGTGGTTAGTGTGTACATTGCATAGAAATGCTCTTTGGTGAATATTTAATATCGATTTTTACATTTCAAGTTAGCAGGATCTAAAGGATATGTAGGTTATATTTTCTTCTTAACATTTTTTTCAAGTCGTTTAATTTATTTTTTGCTACATCTACAATTAAATAATATTACAATGGAGTATTTTTGGAAAATAGTTCTCTGTTATGTGTCTATGGAACAATGAATATAATACAAGACCTATAAAGAACTGGAAATAAATTTATCGTTATTGCGAGGCTTGGCCTGCAGCCGCCAAGCAGATATTGCACAAATCTTGGTTGTTCATTGCAGCTTCTCCAGGACCATCTCGCAGCACTCGATCGGCAAACGTTTGTGAATCAACTCGTAGAACGGATCCAGTGCCCAGCTTCGAAAAAATCCTTTCTATAGTTTTTCGCACAGATGAAAAATACAATTCTTTTCATTCTTTTCCGAAGTCTCCATTATTTTATTATACTGACCCGTGAACACAAAGTAGTCCGTATACGTGAGTAGCTCTTCCTCCTCTTCGGGTCGTAAGTGGATCAGATAGTAGAGCGACAGTCTCGGAACGATCATCATCTCTTTGGCTTCGTTTGTGAACTTCTGATTATCACGAAGAGATTCTTCAAGATTCGACGACTTTTCGAACAAATCGTGTTTAGCAAAGAGTGTGAACTAATATTGAAACTTGGATTTAATTTTAGGTAAACTGCCATGTTTCGAATAATCATAAAAATCGTTCTTTTTCATTTACTGTAAGTATGGAAATTTTGAAAATTTTTATAAAAGTATCGTCTGCACGGCAATCGAGCTCGAGACTATTGGCCTCGAGTCTGTGACATGTAGCGCCCATGGTGTCAGGCAAATGAACTGTGAGCGGTCAATGCTAGTCAAAGTTTCCCTACAGATAATAAGCTTTTTGCCTATAGAGTAAATCGCAGAAATGCTTGTTTTATCAATGTAATGTTGTATTATCAATGATTGTTTATTTATCAGTTGTTTATGGTGTTGGGCCTTCGTAAATACATGCAATCGTACACATTTGTAGACCTCCCCCAGTTCATGATACCGCCACCGCGCACTTGGCGCTTTAGTCGAGACTTGACTTTTGAGGCCAATACTTTCACATCTATCTACTTCGGCCATGTGTTCTTTACGCTTTCATCCAATGCATTAGTACAGTTTACGACGCCGTAGCGTGTACAGCTATTAGGTAGATCACGCACCATCCATTGCAACGAGTGATTTTTGGGTAAAGAGGATTCATCCTAAATTTTTTTGAATATCATAAACGATCGTGTGTGTGTTTTGTGCAAGTGTTTCAACGATGTATCACTACAGCGATATCGAACAATTGAAGAGCTTACGCGACAGCGGCTTCAATTGGGAGTCGGGAAAAGAGCGCTTGGCTTTTTTCAGTAAGCTCAATACTTTGATATTCAATTGGAAAGACCCGCTCCCGGATGTCCGAGAGATCTTTCGTCCCAGAGAGATCGACGAGCTCATCATCGAGTCCATGAAATGCGTGAGGAAACCCGGACTCATCCGATGGCCGTTTATCTCGGTGGTCAAATTCTTGATCAAAACCGGCTACGAGGACGAACCGGAGCTCGATGAAGACGGCGAGGTAATTTTGCTGCGGACCACACCGCTGCATTACGCGGCGAGCGACGTCCTCCTGTTCAGCTTCGCGATCGGCCATCTGTTTCGAATCTATCCCAGATTCGACGCGAACTACGCGAGCGAGTCGGGCTTGACTCACTTGCACGTGGCGTGCATGTTCAAGAGCTGCGAGCGATTCGTCAAGGAATTTCTCGACAACGGCCAAGATTCCAATCTTCCGTGTCGGGGAAAGGGCGAAACGCCTCTGCACTTGGTGGCGCAGTGGGGCGAGAAGGAAATCATTCACTTCCTGCTGATGAGAGGCGCCGATCCACAGTTGACCAACGCCGAGGGAGAGACGGCTTTGCACGACCTGTGCAAGAGAAGCCGCGACGATCTGGTAGAGATGTTCTTGAAAGTCAACAAACAATTCAGCAAGTCGATCAATATCGACGCCGTGGACGATTGGGGTCGGATACCTCTGCTGGTGGCTCTGAACCGTAGCGACAAGAAGTCGGCCTTGCTGCTGCTGAAGAAAGGCGCCAAGTCGAATGCGGCCGACGAGATGGGATTTACAGCACTGCACCTGATGTGCCGGAGAAATTACGACATCAAATCGATCGAGGAGATTCTCGACGCCATGGCCGGCGACTGTCCGGTCAACGCCCGGGACTTGAAAGGACGAACTGCTTTGCATTACGCATTGTACCACGCCGACAAGGACGTGATCGAGCTGTTGCTGAGACGAGGCGTGGATCCCAACACGCCCGACAACGAGGGAATCACCGCCATGCACTGCATCAGCCGGAGACGACTACCCGCCGACGACTTGGCCAAGACGCTGCTCAGAGTCTGCGGCGAAATCGATCGTGTGGTGCAGATCGGCTTCAGGGACAAGGGGTGCCGTACACCGCTCGAATGGGCCGTGGCGAATCATCAGCCGCATCTGGTCGAGAGACTCCTGCAGCGTAGCAAGAAGGTGGAACGAAAAAGAAAAAATGAGATCCCAACAAGCAAAAATTTTTAGTAAACTCTACCGACATTTCACTGCCGTTGACGCTGCCATACAACAGCATGATATGCAATCACACAGAACTAAAATGTCACACGACGATCAGCTGCTAATATTGAGATTTATTGTCTTTGTTTCGCCAAGTCCCGACCTTATTGTTCGTGTGTTGGATCACTTAAGACATCAACACAAGTTTAAAACGCATACGGCCTATGTACTTAAGAATGTTATACATAACCTACCCAAACAACCGAAAATCGCAAATCGATTGACTGACGATGAAAAGCACTACTACCGAAACAATGGTTTCTTATGATATTTCAATGTAAAAGCCGACTTATATATGTAACAATTTATATACCATCATAATTGTTCCACGAATATTTGACAAATACCGTTTAGCATATAAGAACTACTAAAATAATAAGTATGAACTTTGTAAAAAATTTCATATCGTAGAAGTTGTTACTTAATAAAATTACTTAATTCGAACTGTATAAAGGTGTACATTTTTAATTGCTAAACTTGACCTTCGTATATCGTGAGGCGGGCATTTCTGCGATCATATTTAAGTCCATCAATAGATACATATCATTGCCGCATATTGTGTAAAATTAGGTTGCATCTCAAACCAACAAGGACTTTATGTTTTCAAGGGGATCGTCATTGCTGTTACGATTCGACATGTTCGACCAAGTTCGGGCGGGAAAGAAGAAGGGGAAACGTGTCCGTCTCTGTACAGCAGATGGCGGGCGGGCGGGCAGGCGGGCGTGATCATAGCGGACGGAGGGGGAACAGCTGGTTCACTAAGACACATATGGCACGCGGACGCACGGTGGGGGAACACAGCCCGCGCGACGCGCTCGCGCTCAAATACGAGCCGCTCAGTGCGGCGAACATCAGTCTGTAGCGAACCTTCAAGGAAGCAGCAACAATCAGCGACCAACACCAGCTTGATTGCAACGCCAGCGCGATAGACTATAAGTTCCATCTCCCTTCGCCGATAAGCCTCTACTTGATTATTTGGACTTGTTCGTTTCACCTTGCTTTACATCAGTGCAACGCCAGCGCAAAAGACAATAAGTTCTATTTCCCGTTGCCGTTAAGTCTAATCGAATTCGCTAATTCCACGGGACAATTCCTTAAGTTGCAACTTCACCATGACCGAGTCCAAGTCGGGATCTGGGGAAAACATTAAAATTTCGTCCTAATTAAAATTATTGTAGGATCAGTTTTAAAAAGTTTATACTTACAGCGATGAAGTTGTTTAAGTATTGGATGATCTGAATTGCTTTAATATGAATGTGGTGCAACGGATAATCTGCTTTACGACCCAAGACGGTTTGATTCAATTTTTCCCTGCTGAGGGGTTGTAACTTGACGATGTCGTTATACTTATACTTTAGTCGGTCAAGTCTCATTGCTTCATCATTGCCAGAAAATCTCATGAAGAGTCTCCATAATGCCCTTCGCGTGAGTTCCATTATATATTGTTTTTTGTTTTTGAATTCAACTTGATCCGTGTCGCGAATCGGCAAACTTGCGGTTATCTAAAGCATACAAACAAGGCGTGACTTATCTGAGTATCGAAATGTATTATGTAGGCGCAACTTACCGTTTCGTCGAAATACATTCTTGGTTTTAGGACGAAATGGTCGCCAACATTGTCGTCATTATTGTTCTCCGTTATTTCATAATCTATCAAGTTCAGTGCGATTGCGTTTAACACGAGTCGAGAAATCCAACGCTTGGGTAACGTTATTAAGCATCCATAGTAGTCGCTCTGACACAAATTATGGGGTACGTTGTACAATCCGTAAGCTCCCAGATGTGTTACGGCTTCGTTTAGCGTTGGATAGCGGTTCAAGTTCGAGTGGGCTTTTACAAAGTCGTGTATCTTTTCGTATACAAATGGTAAGTCGATATTTCTTGCATCGCTGTTCTTTTCGCAATTGTCACAATGATCACGGCAGAACATGGTTTGCATCTCTTCGGAAAATGAGCGATTGAGTATGTCGTGACGACACAAATCCGTACATTCCATTGCAATGACTAACTCGAAGAAATCGGAAGTCGCATTTTCTCTTATTGCATCGATAGTTTCTTGCGTAGCTCCCTCCTTCTTTTTGTTCGCGATGGTTTTAATAAGGTTAACCTTGAAGCTGTTGTAGATGGCGAAGTTGTATACTTGAATCCATTAGGTCCCGACCTGCTCGACCTATCATTTGCGTCAAAGCCGCAATTGAATCCGGTAACTCATAAATAATAATGCATCTTATGTGTTGATGATCGATGCCCAGACCGAACGCACTCGTTGCGACAACTACTTTGACTCGATCTTGCAACCACCCCATTAAGATGGGTTTTCTCATACTAGTCGATGTTGACCCAGTATAACTGACATTATTGATGCCATTACACAATAACGCGAGACTTAATTGTTCTGCTGTTGTAGCACGATACGTATAAACGATTGAAGTTGAATTTCGGTATAAATCGGACTTCAACAGGGTCGCTACGTAGGCTACTTCGTGCTTTCGTAAGGTTGAGGCTTCTGGTAAAAAGACGTCAGTCTTGGCATATTTTCCAAACACAATTTTACTATTATCCACCGTCACATGTAAATTGTTCCTGTAACCATGCGTGCCGAAAATCTCGATGTTGGAAATGAAATCAAATTGACGTTCGATCCATCTTATATGTTTCTTAGTCAGAGTGGCCGAGTACCAGCTTACATTTATCTTGCCCTTGAGTGAACGCAAGAATGTGATCAGATCGGGATAAGCGTCGCGAAAAGTCGTGCCCCAAGTGGGAAGGCAATGCGCTTCGTCGAAAATGATTTTTCGCAATTGTTTCGATTGAATTAAATTGGACAGTCTTAACTTGACAACATTATTTTGGGTGATGGCTTCCGGTGTTGTAATTATGATCTTGATCTGCAGACGGGTACAAGCATCACAGTCTTCTAAGAAGTCTCTGGTGTCGTTATTTCGCTTAGGTCCCAACCTGATGTGTTCGATATTGCAATGATTCAATTTTCTTTGAAAGTCGTCCAGTAAAGATATAGTCGGTAGAACAATCATTATCGTACCGCTTCGCATCAACGCGCTCAAAATCATAATTACCGACTTTCCCCAACCCGTCGGTCGATTGACGATATTACTTGTGTCGCATGCCTCTATCAATGTAAATTCGATTTGTTCTTCGGTAGGATCGAATTTGAAGATGGTCTTGCACGTTGACATCACTTTCTCGCAATTGATTTCATAGAAACGATTTTCCATCCAGGGCGAGTTCGAACTCAATTTTCTGTTCGTCTTTAGGACACTGACGACAATGATATACGGTTGTTAATGTTTGCGAGTGAATGGTTAAATATGGTTTATCTGTCTTATGCTTAAATCCAAACAAGCACCTTGTCGTTGAAAGATTGTAATATTTATTACCGTAATAGTCGTGAACGGCCCGGTAGATTCTAACAACTTTTATATCGGGCAGCGTCCTCCTGATTTTGTTTAAAGCAAGTCGCAACCTCTTTGCTTCTCCTTCCGATAGCGTTTTAATTATTTCGATCCCGAAACCTCGAGAGTTAAGGATCGCGCCCCCTGGAGTTGGTCTTCTATAAAAGGGTTCCAATGTCTTGCGTATTACTATTTCGTTGATTCCGTGATAAATGAACGTAACGTTGTTAGACTGGGGAATGGTAACTAGGGTGAATCGTAGAATGTCCGTGATGTTGCAACTAGCCCACTTAAATTCCAAAGGTCTCGTACTAAGTCGCTTCCTCGATCCGTAAAGTCGGAACTGTTGCGATGCTTTGTAGACCTCGAAGTCTATAATAAGACTGTTGGGTAATAGCAGTCGCAAGGGCGTCTGAGCCTCCTCCCAGTGTTCTAGTGCGAGGCTACCTAGAATGAAAGTTATTACAATCTCTTCAAAAATATATTAAAGTTGTGACTTACAAATTTTATTCTCGACTTCTTCCAATGTCCAATCGTCTTCTTCCGTTTTAAATATTTTGTTTCTTAAATATTTTGTGATTGACCCAACCAACAAATAAAGAGGGTGTTCCGGATCAGCTGCGATTATCTGCAAATAATCTTTGAAGCTGCGCATGAACCACTGCAATGGTCGTCCGTCAGGATCGGCAAAGATATATTCGGTTTCGTTGTCAAACAAACGAACGATAATGTGCTGAGAGAATTTTAAGTCGTTACTTGCGTCCAAAATACAAGATTTCAATGATAGGTTGCGATATTGTTCGTGTGAGTTAAGAAAATCTTGAAGTAATTCCAGAACAATTGCGCTGACGTTATTTGTTCCGATTTGATGTTTCGTCTTGTCAAACTCGATGTCCAAATAGATGCAGGTACGATTAAAAATCAATTCGTACATATAACGTTCGCGCCAGGTTTCGTACTTTTCACAAAAGTCCTGGACCTTGATAGCGTAAAACTTGCGGCGATGTTCGTTATCGTATTCAAAGGCGAAAGAAAGAGTCTCGACGTCCCCAAGTGGTAGATCTGCCTTCTGAATGAGTGCTTCCAATTTAGTCAAGTGCCAGGTCTTTAAGAAGTCGTCCATTTTCGGAGTTCTGCCGTCGACTGATACCGTTTGCCCCGAGACCGCCCTATTTATACTAAATTTTTTCCCCCCCACTTCACTCGTTACCATGGTAACGCAAAGTAGGGGTAACGAGCAACCGATGGAGTGGGCGAACCGTTCGTAGTGGGGAGCGTTCGGTGGGGATGGGCAGTGGAAACGATCACGGAAGCCACGCCCCCCCCTTTTTTTTTTCTTTTTTTTTTTTTTTTTTTTTTTTTTTTTTTTTAAGTCCGTACGCATTGCAA